ATATTTAGTGAAAAATCTGAAAAAAATATTATATCTAATTTAAAAGTTTCATACAGCAAATTCAATAAAGACAGAATCTTCAAAATTACTGAATGAATGAATAGAGACTTTGAAGCTTGTCTCAAGCCAGGTTGGAATGCTCTAGAAGAGATTAAAGTCATTAGTTTTGAGAGAAATTATTATGGTAATGTTTTTACCACCTGACCTCTTTTTATATGTGCACGGTTCTCAAATAGAATGTGTAGTCACGTGTGGAGATCGGCCAAGCCTTTAGCGATGTTCAAAAAAAGGAATGACACTTGGATGTTTTAAGCCGCCCGGATGAAAGTAAGCCCGTCTGGAGCTTAGTCCCAATTAGGGACGACTGGACTCTTATCAGTGCTAGCAATATTCGCGTCCCTAATCCTATGCTGTTATGCTGTTCCTAGAGAGAATACACCATGCCCCGAGATCAGGCCACCTACTGAAATGTCCGCTTTTATAACACGTCAACAGGCGCTGGTGTTGGGGGGTTTTACCAGAATGGCTCTATCACCGAAGAAAACCTCATCTGGATTCTGAGCGATGTTCTTTTTAATTGTGGAAGAGGGGCATCCTTGGACTATTCGGCACACAGTGTTAGAAAGAGTCACTACTCCTTCAAGCAACCCAGTTGTGCTTGGAGATTATGATATCTACCCTACAGGTACAAAGTCCAGTTTTCTAAAATTTGTAAAGCCACAGCGGTCAAACCTGTGCTGATTCATCTAGGATCTATTCAAGTAACCAATGTAGCATGGTTTGTTCGACTCATCAGCCATTCTGTCTCAGGTCGAGAAGATAAATTCCGAGATGGAGTTCGTGCTAGAGATGGAAAATGCGTCATATCCGGACAGGTCAACCCTGGGGCCCAGTGGGATGACTGGGCAGGGTTTGAGGCTGCACATGTCTTCCCGCTAAAGAAGGTGAGTTTCTGGATTGAGTTTAACTATGGATGCTGGATAACAAACATGGATGATGCTGTGGGAGTGTCCAAAATTCATTCCATTCAGAATGGAATACTCATGACAGGACATCTGCACACTCGCTTTGACCAATACCTGTTCTCCGTGAACCCAGATGTAAGTGATTTGGAGCACGAACATTTTTTGCTGAACTAATCTATTAAAGGATGGTTACAAGATTGTTGAGTTCGGGCCTGGCAGCTGGGGAATTGACGGATGCGTATTGAACCCTGTTTGCTGCGATCCAACCACCAATAGTCACGTCTCAGATGAGCTGCTCCGGTGGCACTTTCGACAGTCTGTGCTTGCCAATATGCGGGGTGCAGGAGAGCTTATCTTTGAGTCTGATTTCCCCCCTGGATCAGATATGATGGCAACATTGCATTTGAACTGTACGGCAAAGAGAGGCTTGAGATGGAACTTGAATCAAGGCTCCGGTCTGAGATTACGAACAAATAGCGGAAATCTTACTCATTCTGTTTGTCTCGCAAGGGGTGTAAAAAAAAATAAATAAAAAAAAAAAAAAGACTGAAGACTGGGCTGAAATCGCCGGCCACTGAGCTGTGTTCCGTCAAAAGCAAGTGGTTGATATCACAGATGTCACCGACAACATCCATCAAGTATGGCATAATCCATCTCGCTGATGCAGTGCAAACGCATGCGCGGTTACATCTACATCAAAACATGGGCAACAAAGTCATCATCACAACCATATACTCAGTGGAGGAGCAAGAGGTCACGAGACCGTGCAACATAGCTTGAGTATCGAGATGATGGATGAAGGGGCGGTGATGTGATGGTAACAGTTCTTGCTTATCACCATGGATCCACGTGCCGTTAAATCGGAATTCGTCTAAGTGCTGTTGAAAGATAAAGTCTCGTCCTTAAGCAGTCCGATTTCATCTGCGACCAGAAATCGTGTATTGAAAGGCCACATCAATCGCCTGGTGTCTATTTGTGGTACGCCAGCTTCTGGGGCTTCTCTGGGATTTCTTGCACTGGAATGTAGTATGTAGGCTTTTAAGCGCGACTTCCATTCACCTCTGAACTTCACCAGAATTGAGATATCATTTAACCTAAAATTTTTCTGGGCACAGTGCTTATCCTTTCATAATTTGAACATTCACTTCTTGATCAAACCCTCACTAGGTCAATTAGTCCATGTGATTGTGGATGTAATGCTCGCAGAAACAGCATCTGTATGCAGCAGATGACATTTCAGCATCCAGCAGGTCATCTAGAAGAATAGAATTGTCAGGTGGAGAAGCGATCAAAGTGACATCATTGTAGTAGTCATCTATGGCAGTTCCTCAATAATCAAATCTTAAAAAGACTCTGTCTCATTTCTACCCCTCATGTTGTCATGCCTGCGACAACTTTAGCCGTCTCCTAGCTGTCTCTTTCTGTTTCTCGCGGATATCTCTTTTTTATAGTTAGTTAACTAATTATCGGTTTACCAATCAGGTAGAAGTTATAGCAGGGGGAAGCTTGCGGTTGCAGCCAGGGCAACCCTGGTGACATTCGTTAATATATTGCCCCCTTCCAAAAGGGGAGATAAAATGACTGCCCAGTGCCTTAGGTGCCCCCTGAACTGGTGATGTGCGCCTCCAGCGCCTCCCATTGGCTTTGCGGCTCTTCAATTACCTGGGTTGTACGGGTCGTTCAGCAGCATTCCTTGGCAGAGTGAGATGCGTGAAGATGTGTGCGATGTGTGAGAGTGTGCCACATGGCATAATACTTTATAAGGGGGTAAATAGAGGATAACTACCTGTATTGGCGAGTAGCGAGGGCTCGTGGGAGCCGGGGGAGGGATGATTGGGCGTGGAGAGAGAGGAAGGTTGGAGCAGCAGCAGCAGCACAGCTCACTACCTATTAATATTCACGGTGATATAGCTAGCTAGAGTTGGTGAGCTGCATTGACAAGACTTAACTAACCCCTGGAGCTGTATTCCGTATTTAAAAGAGTATATTTCGGCAGTTCGGTGGAGGATCCGTGGATATATAGTTAATGGATAAGGATAGGTTTGGGACTGGAGTGATCGCGGAGATAGGGTAATTGGCTAAAGATATCTATCTACCTACTAAAATTTTATTGAGTCTACGCCTACATTTTATAGTCATCTCTACACCTAGCATTTAAAAGTAGGTAGAAGAACAATATAGTTGGTTATAATTAAATTAAATTAATTAACTATAATAGTCGTTGTATTGTCCGCTCCTCTTGTCATATTTATTATCTCAAGAACATGTTAAATTATGCGTATGGCTCAACAGGGCCAGCCCATGGAAGATTATTCAATGCATTCTCACTAACAATGTAAAAGAACCTAGAAAACTAAAATTGATGAAAATGCGAAAATGCTTTTATTATTCTTGGCCTTGATGCATCTCATCGAACAAGCTTTTGTCATCCTCTCTTCTTGCTGGATAGTTAACTAGAAAAACTACTTCTGTGGAGCTTTCATCTCATTTTACTTGAATGGTATATCTGCATTTTGACATATAAAATAAATAAATTCCCTGTATATGTAGAAGACTCAACTCTGTTCTTTTATCCAGAGTGTTTTATTTCCCTTTGATCCCTTTATCCCTTTATCCCTTTGTCCCTTTGTCCTTCTTTGCTATCTTGTTGTTGAATTTTTGAGTTTTAGTCTCCGTCACCAGCCACCGCCATATTGAACGTTAAACCAACTTAACCCATCTTCAGCATCATCTTTCTTTTCATCATCGTATCCAACCAGCCTACCAACCTACCTACCTACCTCCGTTGCTGTACTTTAACTCCCTTTTCCTGCTAACTCCCAAGCTCTAGTCCTCCAACCTTGTCTAACCTCCTCCAATCACCGGGCGCCGACTCACGCTATCAATATCCTCACCAGCTTCCTCTTCCTCCTCTCTCCTTATTTTTCTCTTCTCAAACCCCTGTTTTCATCCTCACTTCTCTTTGGCTGCTCTAGTTCCCCTCGAAAATTTGCCCTGGCTTGACCAATGTCCTCCCCATGTCAGTCCCTTCTTCCGCTCCGGTTGATCCCTCTCCCACTACCCTGGTGACACCTGCGCCCGATGCCCCTCATGATTCGAGCCTTCTGCAGTCCCTGGCTGCTGGCCGCTGCCCGCTCAGCCAACAGCCTGCCCACGTTGAAACTGCGCCTCTCACCGCGGCTCTTCCTCCCTCGTCTTCCTCATCTCCTCCTCCTCCCCACACCATCATAGATGCTAATACCGCCACCACTCCGGCACCTACTCTCACTCCCACTACTACTCCACCTGCGGGCCGGTTAGAAATTCCGGATGTCTCATTCCCTCTTAAACGGACAAATACTGCTCCTGTTGGACGCTCCACTCCCCTAACTTCCCCTCCTGCTGTCTCTTTCGCTTTCTCATCCTCCCCCTTTCGCTCCCAGAGCCCTCAACTGTCTGAGAGAGAAAGCATCTTTGCCACGCATTATTTGCCCTCAGACAACGATGTAAACAATACGCAGGCAAGTGAGGACTCGTGGAGACCCGCTTCCTCCATTCTACGCCAACAATTGTTACGGGTCAGGTCCGCGGGGAAACTGGAACAAGGTGGACAATATTCGCAGCAGCAGGCGGCTGCGAAGCGTGGAGGACAAACATCTAGGAAGAATATCAGTATCAACAACGACGATAACGAAAGCTACAACGATAATAACAATAATCACTATTTGCAAATTTCTAGATGCTGGCAAGATGGCGATGCCCCTGCTCTGTCCACTGACCCCGTGCAGAAGGAAAATATCCAACCGAACACTTGTACCAATACTACGAACAGTAGTTCTTCTTCACCCGTTTCTTCCTCTCACCTGCGCCCTTCTCACCCTAACTCTTCTGCTCCAACCATCTTTCCGATGATTAGTACTCATATTGTGCAACACCCTTGCGGTGTTGCGGGGAGTAGCAGCAGCAGCTGCACCACCACCACCACCACCAGCACTGGTGATGAAATTGACCGACCAAAAGATACATTCTTCCATTCACCTCCACGGACGGCTAATTCGACATTCGCAAAGCCATCATCATCGTTCACGGGCTTTCCCAGAGCCAAGACCTGGGATTCTCACGAAGCTATTCCTCTGCTGCTCCCCAATCCTCCCAACAAGGTTAAACCCACCTCCGTATCTACCACTCCCACCAGTACTGCCGCCAAAATGCCAAGTTCGAGCTCCTCAAGGTTATTTGACGGAGAAACTGGCAGGGCTCAATCAGCCCATTCCCACTCCGTAGAGTCGTCTGACCCGTTACAATCATCCTCAGATCCCCGTCGTACGCGCCCTCCATTCCGTAGTTTGAGCAAAGGTCGCCACTCGCGCCAGGATACCTCAATCGAAGCAAACCTGGCCCATGCTGAGCCGGCTGCAAATGTTCGGAGCCGGAAGTCAAGCCACTACCTAGGTCTGTTCAAGGAGAATACAAAATCTCCAGAAGGTAAGAAGCGGGATGAGCGGCTTGTAGAACGTGCCATCAGGACCAAGGAGCGTCATCTTGGGCTTGGGGATTCTTCTGTCGAGCGGGGAAGATTATTTCCTGCTGCTGAGGGATCTTCACGGTCTCAGGTTTTTCTTCTACCTCCAGATGTATCGGAACCGCACCAATTACACAGGGAGAAAGAGGATGATGAGGAGGGTTCCCATGGTGATGACGAAGATCGTGGTGAGGGTGATGATGGTCAGGTATTCGACTCCAGTTATGACACTACTCCAACACTTCTCACGACGCGTTCCTTTACAATCGACAGCAGCCCCGAAGAAAAACCCCACACAGACAGGTGGAAGAAAACCCCCGTTGAGCTCCTTGAAGAGACTAAGAGTTACCGTGGTTTCGTTTCTCAATCGGCAAGCAGCTTGCCAACCCCGATCATGGATCGGGGTTCGCCCTTTGTTTTCGAATCGGATTCCGCGTTCGAGAGTAATTCCCCTGGATCTGATACGACTCAGCAATTGACACGGGACGGTTCTGAAAGCTATGAGGACGAGGAACGCATCTCGTCTGCCCTGTATTTCCCTCATCAACTTCCTGAATCGGAGGATACCGAAGAGCAAACCCAATCCCCTGAAGAGCCTTGCGAGAAGGAGATGAATCGGTTAACTTTACAGGACGAGGCCCATGAGGGCGTGCCAGTTGAGCCATCAAATCACGTGGATATATCGTTGCATTCGGATACTGACACTCGTATTCTCCATGGAAATGTGCCTGTTACTGTCCCTGAAAGCAAAATAGGAGAGAAGAGAGAGCGCCAATTGACTACAATTTCTGAGCTGGGGACGGAGTCGATGTCTGAGTCTGAACTCAGCTCAGTGGATGAGAGTGGGCTCTCTGCGCGTGAAGAAGAGATTGGTGTGACTGGGTTGGCTGGTGATGCTGCTTCTTTTTCTGCTGCACGACACAAACACAAATACACACATTCACACTTCCACTCACGCACATATGCCCATGAGCCTCCTGTGCCACTGGGTGCAGTGGAGTTGAAGCCATACCGCCATCAAGTTGGGGGTCACAGTACTGTGTTCAGATTTTCCAGACGTGCTGTCTGTAAGCAGCTCAATAACCGTGAAAATGAATTCTATGAGAGAATTGAGCGCAGACATCCAGACATGCTGCCGTTTCTTGCGAGGTTTGTCTTATCTATTTTCTTCTGTCTCCTTACTAGCTGGGAGTCCCCATTACGCGTGGATTTATACGTGTTGCTCTTACAAGAATGCTAACTATATCCCCTTATCTGTGCATTATAGGTATATTGGAGTTCTCAATGTGACCTTCTCCAAAGGTCCTAAGAGATCAAAGAGTAAACCTGATGGGAGTGCCATTGAAAACGGAAGCGCAATAACTTCCTCTAAAGACGTTGTTGGGAAAGCTTCTCAGACTTCAACTGAAACAAAAGACACGGAAAGTCAGCGGATCTTCAGCCAATCTCAAGTTACAGGAGTCGTTCCAAAGGTAATACTCGAGAATAACCGGCATATTATCCCAGTAGATCTATTCACAACTCCTGCCATTCCAGAAGGGAGAGAAGGTACCTCCGATGCCCAGCAGGTAGTTAGCCAGGACGATCCCTCGCTCAAGCTGGCACCAGCATCATCCACTACTAACCCCCTACTAAAACGACATGGAGCAAGCTGGGGCGCGACAACTGTCAATACAAAGCTCCAGGAACAGGTTCTCCGCGAAGTTTTCGCGCCCCCGCCCATTTACCATCACCGCCGCCATTCTCACGGTCGTCATTCGATGTCCAGACTACGGTCTGACATCTCACAGCAACGTAATCATGGATCAATGGAACGGCCATCTTTTCAGGGTGATAGCTCCGCGTGCACCATCCGCCAAGGATCTCTGCCTCCACTTCGAATGAACCGCGACGAGGACAAGAAGGATGCTGAACTGTCGTCATCGGCTTCCACCGTCGTGAACGGGGAGATGCACCCGCTTGAGAAAGTTTATACGGAAGATGGACCCCAGCGTCCCAAGATCCTAAAACACGTCACTTCCCGTCGAATGCGTCGCCGCCATTCGGGTGGTGGTCTCGGAAGGAAAAGGAGTATGAGCAATGGCCAATCTGGAGAGCTTATTTACTTTGACGATGAAGGGTATGGCGGAGACAGAGAAGATGATATCTTCCAGATGGAGCCAAAAGCTCCGTCAATCCCTACGCCGGCATCATCATCTTCTTCTTCCCAACATATCACGACAGCCGGGCTTGTTCCTGCCGAGGTTTCCCCTGCTAAGCACACTGAGCCCAATCCAGAATCGCCCTCTTCGCATGAGATCAAGGAATTCCCAGTCTCACTTAGTACTCCCACTGGTGTACCTGTGCGTCTCCCTGTAAATCCCAAAGAGGCCCAGACAACGCGTGACGAGCGTAATCAGTTCTTCCTGCTTCTTGAGGACCTCACTGCCGGTATGAACAGGCCCTGTGTTCTGGATTTGAAAATGGGAACGCGTCAGTACGGCATCGAGGCAGACGAGAAGAAGAAGAAATCCCAGCGACGCAAATGCCAGACAACCACGTCGCAACAGCTCGGCGTTCGCCTTTGTGGGATGCAGGTTTGGAATGTGAAGAACCAAAATTATTTGTTCGAGGATAAATATTTTGGCCGTGATCTTACGGCTGGAAGACAGTTCCAGGACGCGCTTACGCGGTTCTTGTATGACGGTGTTAGTTATTCCAGCGTTACAAAGAAGATTCCTATCATCCTCGATAAGCTTGCTCTGCTGGAGAGCATGGTCCGAAAACTCCCCGGCTATAGACTTTACGCGAGCAGCCTGCTGATTTTATACGATGGGGAAAAGGGTGGAAAGGGAGCTCAGGAGCAAAAACTAGACGACGCCAAGGGTGTGGAGGCCGATACCAGTAGCAAATCCATATCATCAGCGGGTAAACCGAAGAAAGCAGGAGACAACGACAACAGCAACAACAGCCTCAAGCAGTCCCGTACATCTGAAGAAGCCAGCAATAATAGTAACAACAACAACAGTTACAGTCTGCGCGTGAAAATCGTCGACTTCGCCAACTGCATCACGGGCGAAGATGGCCTTCCGCCCAACGCGCCCTGTCCACCCCGCCGGCCCCATGATATTGATCGTGGCTACCTTCGTGGCCTGCGGTCGTTGCGCATGTATTTCCAGCGCATATTGAAGGAGATCAATAATGAGGATTATGTGGAGCGCGGCGAGGGGGAGGGAATGGCGTTGGGCCCTAGGGGTACAGCGCGTGGGGAGGAGGAAAATGGGTTCTGGGAGGAAGGGGTTATGGACCTGGATCCTGGGGAGGTTAGTGTTTAGTTTTTGTGGGGCTCTGGTCTAGTGTGGAAGAAAGGTTTGTATGCCGCTCAGGTAGCTCGTTTCTTATCCTTCTTTTTCATGTTTGTTATGGAATAGATTGTGGAATTTCATGGGGTTTCTACCCCTCTTTCGTTTTTACACCTACAAAAACCCCCTGACAGAGTTGGATTGCCCGTTTATCATTTTAATCTCTGTTTCTATCTTCCATTTATCTTCCTTCAGTTGTCATTTGACTGGTGGTTTTCCAGTGGCATTGACAGGACTATGCTGATTTATTTTATTCGCCCTTTTTACATTTTGATGACTTTTTTGCCACCTGTGTAACGGCAGCTTTGTGGTCCCTTTTTTATTTTCCGATTTCTACTATTCCATTGATGACTGACTCAGAAAATGGGGTGCAAAACAAGCTGAGAGGCCTGTGAAGTGTTTGCATATAGCCGGCAAACACACCATACCGTGTCATGCGATGTAGTACGAAGCTTCGATTGTTATTTTTTCTCACTGTTGTCTTTCTACTTCTGCATGAGCTTTTCTATGGTATTTTCTGTGGATTTGTTTTCTGCCAAAGTGATGGCGATGGCGATGGATCGGATCGGATGGAGTTTTCGGCCTAGATGAACGGAATGGGATTTTTTTTTTTCAGGTTTAAAATAACACGCACATGCGGAAAATGGAAAATGGGAAATGGGAAATGGGAAATGGGAAAATTGGAAAAATGGGGCGCTGGTGTTTTTTAATTTGTTTCCTTTATCTCTATTTCTCCTCTGTTTCTCTGTAAGGGTTTTAAGGGTGGTGATATAGGGGAAGAGGGCGGAAGGAGGAACAGGTGAGGGGTGTTTCTATGATACTTTTATTTTTAATTTCGATAGGTCGATGACATTCTTACAGATTATATATATATACTTATTATATGCATGGATTTTCTATGTATTATCGGAGTAATTCGCAGCTCTCTTGCTTCCATCGTTTGATGCCTGAGGATTGCCTTGGAATACTTCGGAGTCCGAGAAAACAAACGCCGACACATTGCCGAGCTACTTATCACGTGATCGTTAACCTTTTCGAAATAGGAAAAGCGTCTGTCTACTGGTCCTTAAGTCAAAAGCATCAACGAACCTAAGAAACTATTCCAACAACTGTCAACAAATATCAACCATTATCAAAAAGAACAGGACAGATATACTCTGGAACGGAGAGCTACTGAGGGTGGAATTCGAGTGTTTGTGGAACCCGTTTCACTGCAAAACAGAGCTATCAAGATATACGGACACGGAGAAAGCATCCATACAGGGTTTGAAGATGACAACATAGCGTTTGAGAGCTAATTGGGTAGCCTGGCAGGTATAACAAATCTTGCCCCCCAAGCCGCAGAGTCATTGCAGAGTCGCCGCAGAGTCTCATCCCATCTCAGGCAGTATCTGTCAAAATCTTACACCAGCTTCTCCTTGTAGAGGAACCCGACCTGTATTGGACAATGCTGCCGGTATTGTAAGCCTGAACACGACTCGAGATCTAGAGATATTTTCTTTCCTTCCTCTAATTAGTACCTGAAACGATAACGCCCGCCAATGACTTAGAGCGCTAGACCGGAGCTAGAATTTACGACTGGGCGTTGCATGCTGCGTCTTGTTACTGTTCTGAGTCAGACGTGGTTGCAGCGCTTTGATTGGGAGGCTGCGTGCAGAAGTGCATAGGCATGGTTAGACCAGAGACTGGATTCCACTCCAGACGATACCTACCCTCCTCCATTCTGCTTTGCCCCTATTCTACAGGGGAATAAAAAAGAAAGAAGAAGATCAAACCCGCACGAAACCTTCTAAGGATGCCAGACTCCAATAATACCCGCCATACTCGGATCATTGATAAACGGGATTTCGACGCTAATCGGCCTTTACACATGCAGGATACTGAAGATGAAGATGGGGGTGAAGCTGATCGACGGGGACGGGTTGGCTGCTGCCATGACGGGGGAAGTTGTTTGCTCGAGGAGGTCGCTAACGAGATTGCAGAGCGGGATAGAAGGTTGCTGAAGCAGCAGGCCGTTAGAATTATCAGCTTTATATGGGGAGTTGGAAGTGCGTATGTTCACATTTTTTCTTCTTCGTCTTTATGTGTTTTGTTTTTGAGGTTACGATGTATCAGGAAAATCATTCTCCAAACTAATTGATTTTTGTGTGGTTTATAACTTAAGACTCTGCGCCGGGAGTATAACTGCATTCTCCCTCTACGGACCCCTCCTCTTCACACGGCTCCATTACTCGCAATTCCGCGTCAATGCCGTCGCCGTCGCAGCGGCGATTTCCATGTATTTTCTCGTACCATTTTTTGGCTATCTGTGTGATAGATACTCTCCAGGTCCCATATCATTGATGTCCGCTTTCTTCTTCGGTCCCGGATACCTTCTTGCAGCATTCGCCTACAAATCCGGCCCCCCCGTAGATACAGGCGGCACGGGATGGCCGTTTGCCGTCATGGTCATAGCGTTCGTGGGCGTAGGTGCTGGCACATGTTGCATGTACCTCGCTGCAGTTACGACGTGTGCGAAGAACTTTGGGCGCGGAAAGCATAAGGGCATTATGCTTGCTTTGCCCATTGCAGCTTTTGGGCTGAGTGGCATGTGGCAGAGCCAGGTTGGCTCGCGTTTATTATATGAGCGTGGACCGGACGGGCAGAAGGGTAGTGTCGATGTTTTTAAATACTTCCTCTTCTTAAGCATTCTTTTGACTGGTATTGGCATTGGGGGAACGTTTGCGTTGCGTATTGTGGATGAGGAGGAGATGATTGACGAAGCTGTGGATGGGTTGGAACGAAGCGGGATCCTTGGTGAGAGTGACTTTCTCCTCCCGAGGAACGAGGTTCGGGCGGCGATATCGTCATCACTCGCTTCTTATGGGGCTATGGATGGTGTTACTGAGACTGATCCACAGCTTGACGATGATTCTGAATCCCTCACGCTCTCAGAGGAGGAATGGCGGGACCGTCAGTTGGAGGAGCGTAGGAAGAAGAACTGGCTTCTTAACCAGGAGACGATGCTGTTTTTGAAAGATAATACAATGTTATGGCTTGCAGTTGGATTCCTTTTGATTACAGGGCCCGGAGAGGCGTATATAAACAATGTGTGTACTTAAACCTCCCCCCCTCATCCCACCTCAAATGCTGTTTTATGTCTAACCCGGCTCCGAAAAGGTGGGCACAATTATTCCAACCTTAACCCCACCATCTTACCCTCCCAACCTTCCGCCTCCAGCCGGCATCCCCGCAACGCACGTCACAATCATCGCTCTAACCTCCACCGTCGCACGCCTCTTAACGGGCTACCTATCTGATGTTTTCGCCCCGTCCCCAGCTCACCCCCACCTCCAACCCACCTCTCCTTTCCACTCACAACTCCCATACGAACAACACGGTCTCCCTTCTCTCATCAGCCACATAACCGTCTCCCGCATGACTTTCCTGCTCCCCTCCGCCTTCCTCCTTTCCCTCGGCTTCATCTTCCTCTCCACACCCATCCCACTCTCCTACCCGCAATCCTTCCATCTCACAACCGCCCTCGTCGGTCTTGGCTACGGCGCCGCTTTTGCTCTCGTCCCAATCGTTGTTTCTGTCGTTTGGGGCGTGGAGAACTTTGGCACCAATTGGGGTGTTGTGGCGATGTTTCCTGCGGCCGGGGCGGCGGTTTGGGGTGTTGTGTATTCGGCGGGATATGAGGCGGCGAGGAGGGCGGGCGATCGAAATGGGATTGGAGAGGGAAACGGGAATGCGCAGTGTGTTGGCTGGGGCTGTTACGGATTTTGGGCCCTGGGATGTACGGTTAGTGTGTGGATTGCGATGGGATTATGGACGATTGCGTGGAGAGGTTGGAAGCGGAGGGGCGTTGTGGTCTAACCGGGAGGTGGTTGTGAGTGGGTTAAAGCGGGTATGGCATGCGGATTCGATCCGGGAGGTATATATATACGTATGTGTATGTATGTTCGGGTTGTATTTTGGGCTATGGATATTCCACTTCATATATCAAAAGTGGGGGTTTCTACTCTTCTTTTATGTCTTTAACTTATTGATTTAGATAAGCGGGTGTCGAGATTTAGATTAAATAGGTTCTTTGGGGATTGAAACAATTTTTTCTCGTAGTATTTGGTAAGTTGATATTGATGGAGAGACAATTTTGGGCTTCGATTAATAGCTGTTCCATCCATCGTTCATGGGATATTCTATACTTTTTAGTGTATTCCCTCTTATATATGTTTTTCATTTTTTCTGCAACAGCTACAGTAACTCAGGACCAAAATGTGGAAAACAACTACTCCATGGGAAATTGGAAATACCGTTATGCCGAAAGGACCAAGACTTAGGCTTCCCTCTTGTTATATAGCGTGCATACACTATAATATTATACCCAGACATCCATCTGGTCTCTCAATTACTATAATACCGGTGCTGGCATTCTAAATAAGTCTCGCCCTCCAGAATGATAGACACAAAACCAAATAGGGGACTATCTAATTATGGGCAAAAAAATAATAAATGTGGTTACGCGTCAAAATGCACCAAAGGATTATTCCATTAAGTGAACAAAGCAGACATAGTAGGGATAGAGGAACATCCAAGGATATGAACAAAAGAAAAAAAATTGAACCACCCAACACCCAATGAAACATGAGAAAAAGGGGTATATATGATATATATGATATGATACGATAAGTATCGAAAATTTTCGTTGTCCAAGAAAAAGTTGTGCTAAGAGTTAATGGAAATGAGCAATGTTGATACAATGTCCAACGAAATTAAAACTTTATGCATCGGTCGACGCCGGATTCAAGCTCGTAAACACCTTGTGAAGGCGTTTGCTTATGGCAGGACCAATACGAGCATCCGACAAAGCACCGCTTTTGTTTGTGCATTTCTGTAGGTATTTTGTCAGTGAACCGTATATCAAGAGACATGCAGCTCATAGTAACATAGATAAGACAACAAAAAAAAAATAGAAGAATAACAAACTTTGACATTCTCTAGAAGGAGAGGCCCCTGCTCCTTCAATTCCCTCACCAGCTCCCCCACGGTGGGATATTGCATTGTGATCCCGTAAGATATCGGGGCCGTAACACGTTGGATCTCCTGCAACATCTTGACATATGTGTCTGCGTTATCCTCACCCGTCCTCACCTGACCGATGTCCATGCAGAATGAAGCATCATGCCGATTTATCAGCTCGTGCCGGTACGGAACTGTGGATATATGTTCTGTGAAGTTCTTGATCCACTCTGCAGATTCGGATGGCACTCCCGTGTGCTGAATTAAACATTCATGTCGCACTTGGAGTTGGAGGAGAGCATCTTCAATTGTATCATCATCGACTGGTGGAGGCGGTGTTGCGGTTTGTTTGGTCTTTCTTCCGCGTTTAGGTGGATGAAATGGTTGAGGTTGGGAAGGGCCCTCTAACTCTCGAAGGACCGATGCTTGGTATGCTCTGTTCTTTGAATTATTGTTCTTCCTCATCCAGACAGTTAAGCCCTCAATGAGATAAATTAGTTTGCATCCTGGATAACTACGTTTCATCTCAAAGACATGAGAATCGAGATTATTGCCATTGCCTGTGGTCGCTACGGACATGTCGACAAACTTCTGAGCCAGTAGGAGGCATAAAACATGGTCTTCTTCTTTAATGGTAAGTGGGCAGGGCTCCCAGTGTCCTGCCTCCTCATTATATTGGGCGGTTATTTTCCTCCTCCAAGTAACAATATCTGCCATGCGAGGAGAGACGAAATGGTATTCCACCCCAAGATGCCTCATATACTCTGTAACTTGATTTCCAACGGTGGAGCCCTCAAAAGTGGAAGACATGTCTATAATCATTTCTGGGGTTGAAGCCTTCTTATTAAGCTTCCCCTTGTTTGCTTCTGCAAGGTCAGTTGCGAGTTGCTTCTCCTTTGCCTTTTGTTCCTTTAGTTTTCGCTTGCGTTCTTTTTCTTCCGCTCTCTCCTTTTCACGGAGTACTCTCGCAGCCAATTTTTCAGCTTCCCGAGCTTCTTTGTTAGAGGTAGATGCCTTGGGAGCTCGTTTTGTTTTAGACGTTGTAATCGTAACAGAAAGGGAATCATTGTCATCGAAGTCCAATGTCTGACTTGGCTTTGGAGAACGGATTTTCGAAGTACAGGATATAGATTTGGACTTAGACGCACTAACTCCCTTCTGTTTGAATTTGCTGGGTTCTGTTGACGAACTTTGTTGAATCCGTGAGAGTAGGCTGGCCGTTCTGTTAGACAAATTAGAGCTCGAGGGAGCCAATGATAAAGCATTCAAGGGGCCTCCAGGGGATGACGGCTCATCGAATTCCACAATACTGTCGTCTATGGTTATTACATCGTATGAGGTTGATGCTCGATTCTCAGCTCTATTTGCCGTTGTCGCATCCACAGCGGGCGAGGTGAATTCGATCGAATCTGAGATGTCACCATTCCACTTACTACTATTCGCAGTCACCGTTTTATTATTGTTAAGTCGGGGTACCGGGGGAAATATAATATTTTCTTCCAAGTCTGAAAATAGAATGTGATTTGTTTTCGGAAAAGGAGCTGGTCCATTTGGCGGGCTCGGGTCCAATTCTGGGCTCAATCTGCGCTTTTTGGCCGGGGTTGGGTCCCCCCAATCAAATATTGAATCATCGGAGAGGATAGCAATGCGAGGAGTACGAGGTGGGTGGTCAGATAGCCGGTCAAACGTTGCTGTTGATGACTGCTCAGGCTTGCTTGATCGCCCGTCCTCGGGGGACGACAAGAGGCTGATAACTTCGGGCATTATGAGCTTTGAATAAGCAGTTCCAAATCTAAATGGGTCTGGTCGGAGCTGTATCAGTCTATACTAATTCCTGTGTACCAGCATCCAAAAGGTATTTAAAGGTCAATGCAATGGTATTTGGAAACCAAATTGCCTTGAGCGAGGGGTAACTGAACACGCGCATCCAATATCCGAGGTTGCTTCCAAAGCAGCAAGATCATCAAGTAGAATTCCTGGAAATAAACTGCAGTACCCTCAATTGTTCCAATCCATTTCTCTGTCCTCCCATGGCACTTGAGATAGGCCCATATATTGAAGTTGGATGTTCACGTTGATGTTGAGTCGAGTTGACGTTGAACTTTGAAACAACGACAATAACACGAGGTCAGGTGATGATAACCAATTAACCATCTAGTTAACTAGTTAGTTACCCCAAAACGGAAACTGAGCCCTAACGACTTCAAACTTCAACAAAGGCCCATTCAACTTCATGCTACGGACTATTCGAATTCTCATTGCTAATAAAAGTTATGTTTCCACTCATAGCTAAGCCATCCTGACTTAATGCTCTTGTGGATCGATATAGTTCTATCTATAGGTGCCTCTCTTATCATACAAATAAACCCTACGTCTCTTAAGCTGTGGCCAACAAAGAGAAACTTAGATAAACAGAGGCTGGGAATGGGGATAAGACGTGGAGACTGAAGGGTTGATCTTCAAAGTCTGATGACAGCATTAAGATCATAAACTAACTGTGTAACTCTCAGGGCGACTCAGCCACACTATTTCAATGATTGATACGATAGCGAAAGGTCCTCAAAGGGTTTTCTGCTTATGATAGACTTCACCTGGGGACAAATATATTGTTAAGGTTCCCAAGGTTGGCTGCTGGGTAGAGGCGTCATTTCATGGGATATTAGCATAGAGTTGGAAAAATAGAAGTGATCGGCAAAAATATTGCGCTCAAGGAGAGATGACGCTTTTATTCCCCTCCCTCTTGCTTTCTTACTTAAGTCAGCGGACGGAGCGCATCGTACTGCCACGCGGAATGTCTATAATAATGATATCAACACTCTCGGTCTTCCGCACTGAATATTGGTCAACAGTCGCACACCAATCTATATGGGGATGGGAATAGACGCCGCTTATAACGGAAGTAATCGTCAAAAGAATATTGGAGGGACTTCTGGAGCGTTGATCCGATTCCACCGCTTTGCTTGCCCATTCGGTATGGTAATCGACAGTTCCGACGTAAAGTCAACCTCCGGATTTTGACAAATTTATGAAAACTGCAAGCAGCACGGCAACAATCAACGTCACCATGGCAAATGCCAACAACAATAAATCACGCAGCCCTTTGAAGGAACGAGGTTCGTTATCGAACATGTCTTGAATCTCGTCCTCTAACCGATCTCCCATGGCCTGCAGCGAGAAAACCTTTTCCACACGTTCTTTCGCATTAGTGCTGATTACAGCAGCTTCTTGTGCATCCATTTCCCATAGCGCTTTCCGCATCACTGCTGTCCACTCTTCGATGGCACGAGCATCTCTCAGCCAGCCCGTTTTCCCTTCTACAATCGTTTCCAGAGGCCCTCCGTTGTTTACAGCCAGGACGGGGAGGCCGGCATGCATTGCCTCCACAGGCACTATGCCAAAATGTTCATATGATGGGGTATAGACGAGGAGTGTGGCTGCTGAAAGGAGAGTATGCTTGAACGCGGACGGCACAGAAAGGAGGAAGAGGACATCTATCGTATCTGGAATAGATAGGGCGGATATAACCGTTTTCGACGTGGCAGTTCGTAAGCTCAGGCCTTTGGCTATGTCATCGAGCTCTGTATGATATTGAACATTCTCTTGTACGCGATTATCATATCCACCTAGAAAATATAACGTATTAGTTAGTTCCCTTACTCAAAGAGATGCTGGCGATAAAATCATCTTACCAGCAATTACCAACCGCGTCCCTTCTCTTCCCTCCTCCCCAAGTCCGTGATAAGCCCGAATCGCAAGTGCAATATTTTTCTTCCTCTCAAATCGATTGATACTGAGTAGGATCTTTTTTCCACTCCACAGTTCGCCCACTTCAGCCCTCTCTCCTTTTATTTTTATGCCCCTCCCATTCTCCTTCCCACCCCCTCCGGTATCAACGCATGGATACAAAACTCTAACCTCCCCCAGTTCCTCCCCAAAAACCTGCCTGACAACTCCACACGTAAACTTCGAATTCGCTACGACCTTATCGGCCGCACTGATTGCCCACCCTTCAAACCAATCAAATGGGTACCGATAGCACGCCTTGACCAGCCGCTGTATAGGCCCACCCTCATCGCGCCGCGCAAGCAATTGATCCGGAAAATGACAGTAGAATAAAATCCGTTGCCTTCGCTTCGTCACAGCCTTTGAACCCAACCACGTCGATGACGCCAGTAACTCAAAAGTCTTCAGAATTGGCACACACGCCGGCACCTGGTCGCAAATAAACACCACCTCCCTCCCTTCCTCATGTCCGTCTTCATATCCCTCACCCCCAGCTACCATCAAACCAAACACCAAATGCAGCTGCCTCAGGACCGCAAACAACACCCGAAACCTCCCGGCAATCTGGTCCGGAAATATCGTGTTCCCACGCGCCCGGACGTCCAGTGTACCATCGCGTGCCTCCTCAAAGCAATGGTGTGTATCCAGGTGCGACGTGTAGATTCTTACGGTGTGACCCCGAGTTTGGAGGGCCAGGGCGACATCGAGGATAAGTCGTTCTGCGCCACCAATGCCAAGGTCTGGGTGGATGATGGTTATTGTTCTGTGTTTTTTGGGTATCCCGTGTGGGGGTTTGGACATATTTGGGTTTAGGGACTCGAATTGAGCCTTCTTGGGTTATTTTCTGTCGTGTTGAGTGTTTTTTGTTGAACATAACAACAACAAGCTTTCGCGATGGTTGAGCTCGAGTTCACATGTGGCTATGCGGTCATAGCTTCTGCTGTTTTTGTCATGTGATGTGGATAATTCGATCCGGGGTTTTCATAACGGCAATCTATGAAACTATGGGGTAGAAGAAAGACAAAACTTGGAAGCAAGATATGAAATCCGAAAGTATGTAGAGAAATAGATAATGATGAAATATACTTGCCTCTGTATCCTGCATCTAATTTTTTCATTCTCTCTTTACAATCTTTTTTATCCTTTTTCACTTTACGAATTCCCCATCATCTTGCAGCGATGCTAACGGTGTAGTGTGATTCAATATCAATACATAGAATTATAGAATCGATTGTGACCAATAGATATAAGAATTGGAGCTAGTAGCGATAGAGAGTGGCAAACGTTATATCAAGTCTGAAAATAACATCTGCCAGCACATGTCGATTTATATAACATTCGAAAGAAAGAGGGAGAGAAAAGTACGAGTACGGAAGTCAAGGGAAAAAGACAAAAGCAAAGGGGAATCAAAAAGAGAACATAAGGGAAAAGTTGTAGATAGTAAATAAGAAAATAACGAAACGTTATGAGGCATGCATTGAAATAAAAGAATTGAACAGGGTAGAACATATGGATAAAAACAACCGCGCGTTTTGAGGGTGCGCTGGGGCAAATGAATGAATAAGGGAATAGCAAGGCAGTCAAGTGTCTATCTCACTCATCGGACGTTTTTCCGGATCCGGTGAAAAGGGCGGGGAATGACAGGAACGAGGAACTAGAATATAAGAAGGGACGAAAGCAGAATGTACGGAGAGGGATATAATCAACAACCAATGAAGGGGGAGAGATAAAACATATTTGGGTCATAAATGACATCGTCAAGAAGTGAAAGAAAACAGAGGAATTGGAGAAAGGAGACAGGAGAGAATGAAATTGCCAAGCGAAAGGTTGGGTATGAGGGTATGAAAGGGGCAAACACAGGCACGTAACATCAATTCAGGTCACTAATTAAAAGCGACTCGCGAAAGTCCAGCATAGAAAAGGGAAAAACAGATATTATCCAACGGAGACAGGCGGGTAGTATCAAAAAAAAGCCCACACCGCAAACCCAAACCCAAACCCAAACCTCAAAAAAAAAAAAAAAAAAAAAAAAAAAAAAAAAAACAACCCACCCACTCCTCAATAACAATGCCAATACCAAAATCAGAAGCAATTGAGCGTACTCTTCTTCTTCTTCTTATTAATCGCGTTCATCTTCTCCTCCAAATGTGCGCGTGCCGCCTCCGCCTCGCGCCTCGCACTCCTCTCCTCCTCAACAGCCTGAATCGATAATCTCGTCGAATTCCTCTCAGACCGCAGCTGCATCAGCTCATCCTCATACTGCCACGCCTTCTTCTTCCATGCCTCCATGTCCGCTTTCACCTTGTTGCTTTGCGCTTCGAGGTCGCCGAGTGCTTCTTCTAGCGTGGCGGTTAGCTGCTTTTCGGCATGTAGGTGCTTCTCTATCGTACGGATGCGCGCTTCTTGGTCTTCGACTAGTTGGGCGTTGACAAGTTCTTTGCTGGTGTGGCGGGAGCTGGGAGGGGAGATGCTGCCGGTTTGGGCGGCGATGTTGGGGAGAGGAGGGAGGGGAATTGCGGGAGGCGGAGACGGGAGGGATGCAGCGGAGGCACTCTTGCGGAGATTCGAAGTCATGGAGCTGGTGCGGTCGATAGATAATGGTGCATCGCCGTTCCGCATATGGCCCTGTTTTTTTTTTTTTTTTTTTTTTTTTTTTGGGTAAACAAGTAAAAATGCGTGCTATTTCAATATGTATGGAGAAATAATTACCTCCAGATGCTCAATACGAGCGCGATAGCCCTCAATATCTTTCTCCAAGTTCGCGATCTTACCATTAGCCTCATCGAGAGCCTGAAGCCTCTCCTGCTGAATCACAGAAAGACGATTATGATGCTGATCGAAGGTATTCGTAATTTGCTCCTCAAGTTCTTCGACAAGGCGTACACTCTTCTGCTTCTCGAGGGTAATCTCATTAATGAGCAAGTCCTTCTTCCTAATGAGATCCTCTTTGTCCTTGAGCACATCCTCGTGGCTAGCAACAAGGTGTGTAAGCTCGGTCATCTTCGCTTCATGCCGATTCAATTTCTCCGTGAGATCTGAGAATTGCCTCTCGAGTTTGGCATGACTGATTGTCTTCGACTCCAGTTCCTTCAATAGCTCCTCATTGGTATCGAACAGCGCAGAATATTTCTCGGCAAACTGCTGTTTTTGCGAAAGGACGTCCTCAATCTGCTCCTGAAGGGTACTCGCGGTAACAGGAGCGTTCAAGGCGGCGGATACACCGGCAAGCAATTTCGTCATTTCATTCTTAGAGGTTGAGATATCAGTTCGTAGTGCGTTAATGGCATGATCGTGGCGTGCACTCTCCTCCGCAATTTGTGATTCGTATTGTGCCTCCGCGGCTGCCTTTACTTTCACCTCCAGTTCCTCAAGCTCCTGCTTGTGAGACTCCTGCAACGATACAAGATCCGCCTTTTGCACTTCAACGGTGGCTTTGATGGAGTTGATATCTTCTTCTAGATCAGTTGCGCAAGTGCGATAGGACTCGAGTTCCAGGCTATGTGCCTCCTTCTCCCTTTCATACAGAGATATCTGTTCCTTGGCATCTGCGAGCGAGGCTTCCAACCCAGTAATCGTGGACAGGTGAGCAGCAATGGTTCCCCGCTGCTCGTCCATATCTTTCTTGAGGCTATCCACAAGCTCTTGATGTTTAGCACGTGCAGTCTCAAGGCTGTGCGATACAGCAGCCTTCTCTTTCGCGGTATTTCCTTCAGCTTCACTCCGCTCGCTCTGCAGCGCGTCAATACTGGCGAGAGCAGCTTCGAGTTCAACCATGGTCGTTTGCAGCTGTTTCTCTAAGGACTGTAGCGATTCAGCGGCTGTGCGATGTTTGTTTTGCCAATCGGCTCTCTCAGCCAATGCGGCTTCCAACTCGGCAAGTATGGATTGAAGTTTGCTCTCAGATGATTGTAAAGAATCAACAACACCTTGGTGCTTAGTTTCCCATTCGGAGTTCTGTTCCTGCAATTGCACGATTTTGGCATTCTGAACCTTAACCTGATCTTCCTTCTCAGTCACCAGAGTCCTCTGTGCTTCCAGCAACTCATTCAGACCATGCATTTCAGCCGTCAACTCCTTCTCCCGCGCATCATGAGCCTCTTGCAACTCCTTGATCTGGTTCTCATGCTGCAAGATCTGATCTCGCATCTGCGACACGACGGAGATATCCATCGGCGACGAGCCGGAAAGACTGGACCGTTCCCTGGTCAGGCCAGAAATAATAGTCGTCTTTGTTTCCATGTCCTTTTTGACATTCTTGTTTTCAACCTCAAGTGCATGGATACGCTCCATGCGACTATGCAATTCATGCATGGCGGTGTTGAGGCTAAGTTCAAATGTCTGCATGGTGTCCGGCTTATCTTCAAATTCTTCAATGGCAATGTTCCTCAGGGAGGCGAGGGAGCGGTGCGCACGGTCCACCGTCGTCATATTCTGGCTGGTCATGCGCCGGATGACTTGGGGTTTATTCGGGGGTGGAGTAGTTGGAGAGGTAGACATGTTTCGCTGGAGCTCGTACTTCAGGACCTCGACCAAATTCAAGGTCTCTTCATGCTCTGACTGCAACTGGGCATATTTCTGTGTCACCATACTCATACCATGCTGATGCTCTTGCAGCAACCTCTGCATCCTTTCTACATCGCTATTAACCTCACCCTTCTCGAGGGCTTCCAGTAGGCCGGAATTGACATTCTTCTCACTCTCCAAGGTCTCCTGCGACATAGACGACTGCTCGGCCAAGGATAACTCCGAGGAGAGCAATCGCGAAGATGAAGGCAGTGCGCCACCCCTGAGCTCCAGAACTCTTGAGTCCTCTAATAAAAAAGACACTGGTCGTGAGTGTGTCATTGGGGCAATTACTGCTGCTGCTGTAGCGGGATGACGGGCTTCATCAACAGCGTCTTGAAGTTCGGCTAGAGTGCGGAGAGCTTCTTCGTATTTGGCATGAAGAAGATCGTAGTCGTTGGTAGTGGCTTCGTGTTGGATTCGAAGCTCAAACAGTTCTTGAGTTACATTTTCCAGCTTCTCAGCAACAAATCGGGTTTGAGCGGGGCTCTGTGGCGGGTAGTCATGGTCAGAGGTTAGATGGTGACTGCCATTTTCTCCAGAGGCATGCTGGAGCGTTTTCAGTCCGGTGGCGTCATTATGCGTACCAGAAGCAGGTAAATCTTGTTCAGAAGGGGCTGACGCGGGTTCCAAAGACATTTCTCCAAGGTCGTCATCAGAAGATTCTGGAATAGCCGTCTCAGCAGCTTCCATGAGGACATCTAGAGATTGAGACTGGCCCCGCTTCCGGGACTTCGGTGGCTCCCTGCTAAGAGTGGGTGGGGTATGAACATCTACATCTCCCTTGCCATCTTCCGATTTCGTGCCATTTTGTTGGATATGGTCCAGCTCGTACAGTAGGGTGTCGAGTTTACCCAGGCTGCGTTGCCGATCGATGACATGCTCTAACCTATCCATCTCCCGTTGCATCAATTCCACGTCTTGATCAGCCTCAGCTAGCCGTTCCTCTAAAGTTGAGATGTAGTCTTCGCAACTAGCCTCATTCTCACGCGCACGAGCAATTTCCTTGCGAAGTTCAGCAACTATCGCTGCATTCTTCTCTTCTCCGGTGGTATGTCCGTCGAGCTTGGACTCGAGATCGTGAAGGTAGTGTTCCGTATTCGCTTCACGATCCATCATCTTCTGAATACGTGCCTGTAGCTGGGCATTAACGGTTTCGATATAGGCACACTTTGTCTCTTTCTCTAGCAGGCTACTCTCAGTGTTGGACAACGAGGAGCGAGTGTTGGACAGAGAGGATTCAAGGCTTTGGATTGTCTTTTCATACTCCAGCACGACCTGCTCGACAGACTGAGCAAATGAATGGGACCTCTTCAATCTTTCCATCGAACTATCTCCAAGAAGGCCTTGGAGGTCATCAGTATCACCACTGAAATCACTGGCCTTGGTAAGTTCCGAGATGAGTTTGGCATGTCGCTGGCTAAGCGCAGTATAACTTTCCTGTACATCCAGAAGGTGGTTCTGCAGTTCAATTTCTCGTTCATTTTGTCGTTCTGCCCGTTCTTGCGGTGCATTGCTCCTTCTATCTCCTCCTTCAGAATTGCTGATCTGTTGGCGCAAGAAAGCTACCTCTGCTTTTAGTCTGTCGATGACAGCTTGCTTATCGCTCTCATCAGTTACTTGTTGAATGCGAGGCTTGCTTTGGATGGCCCTTGCCCGCTGGGCGTACTGTACAGTGTTTAGTGTCTCGCTGAGATGGAATTCTGCCGGGGTGACACAGGCTATCATATAAGTAATCGCATTGCCACCAAGGGAATCCTGAAGTAATCGAGTGAGTTTAGAATCGCGATATGAGACGTGAGAACCGGCATGTCGGGATGATAACTGTGAAATGACTTTGCCCAAGCTGGCAAGACCAGCATTTATAGATATACCCTCCTTGGCCCGTTCTCCTGACGCGCCAGTATTTTTGAGACGTTCGCTACCAGCCAGATCAACAAAATGTAGTTTGCTATCGACAGTGACTGACAAATCAGTACCTGACAAGGCTTCAACAGGCATTGATAATCGTTTTTCACGGGTCGACAGGCTCGCAGTCGGGTCTTTGCGGTGGATGAGGTTCAGAGAAAACACAGCGTGGGAGCGGGAGGATTTAGCGTTGATTGCAGTGACATCTGTTTGCCGGATGGAGGAACCAAAATTAAGAGCTCCAATAAGATCTTCGAAAGAGTTGATGTTAACCTGGTGTAGGCCGGTGAGAATGATACGTCCCTTTGTATCCTCGCGGATGGTAACTGCGCTCCGTTCTCCCAAGGGTGTGGAATCAGGGAGGAGAAGGTCTCTTAGTTGTTCGTTGTATATCTTGGGTTGACAGTGTTAGACAGCGGATAATTTGATGGAAGGATAACACTGAATAAAGTAGAAATGGATAGTAATACCTCTACATAGGTAGCTTTTAACTGCCAATTTTTATCCAACAAGTTTTTGCCAAAACCCGGTAGAGCTGAATTGACGGAATATCGTGTTGGGGTTCGTAAACCCGTGGAACTGGTGCGGTTGTGGGTGGCTCCAGTTAATTTCTCAAAGAGAAGCTGAGCGGCACGGGGGATTATACCTGGCAATGTAATATAATGTATTAGATAAAAAGAAAGAAAGATATATAAGAAGCGCTGCATAATGGAAGGAATTGCACATACCCATGACTTTCTGGTCATTCTGCTCCGCCGGCCCAGACGTTCCCATAGTGTAAGACTTGCCAGCGCCAGACTGGCCATATGCAAGAATGGAAACATTGTATCCTTGTACAAATGAGTTCACGCTATCCTGGAGGTAATCCCAGATGCCTTCCTGATTGGTGGTCTCTGGGAAGACCCTATCAAAGACAAACAACTTCCGGCCCTGAGGAGCATCAACAGCCACGCTGGTTGGCGAAGTGACATGGACAGTTGACCGTTGGAAGCGCTGGGGGATCAATTCGAATCCAGGGTCGGTGGGCTTCAAAGGCGGGCGAACGCGAACAGCTATTTGTGTTTTCATGGGATCAGAAATCAACTATTCCAAAGGGATGTATATATAGATGTATGTCGAGTGACAATCTAGTGTATAGATAAATATACACATATAGAGATATAGATAACTATATACGTACCGACTTTGACAGCCGTCTTTGTATCTTCATCGGATGCCCTACTCCCACCGCCTTGTTTGCTGCACATACTCATCCGACTGTTGCTCCTTGGAGGACGGATCATTGCGCTCATGGGTCGTGGCTGGCCGAGGGGAGTGGGAGAGGCTGGAGGAGAATGGGCCATGGCGGAGAGAGAGCCCCTTAAACGTTTTATCTATATCAAGAATAGCAAAAGGAAGATGGATCCAGATTCAATTCTTGTCTTGTTCCTCGAGGAGGCTCGTCGAAACGCAAAAATATAGAAAACTAACAAATTAAAATAAAATAGAATAAAACAAAGAAAACGCGAAAGGGAACAGGAAAAATGCAAGAAAAGAAAAGAAAACCCCAAAGCCAAGCCCCCCAATTTGTAATCCACCAAGATACCAGTGCTAAGTTAAACCAGAAACCAGAATGCGATCGGTCATGGGAGGAGGATTGATCCGGGCGAAGCCAGAGTGTTTTTCCGTTGGGTCGTAGTGGATTGAGCCACTGTCGGATGTGTGTAAGGTAGGCGGAAAGAGTTGTATGACTGACTGTTTTCTGGGGGCGCTGTTGGTGTTTTCCGAACGAGCAGCGAGGATTGGAGAGACTATTATTTGCACCAGGTGCTGGAGAAGGAGCGTAGTGGAGGAAGAGGTGAGTGTTGGGGAGAGAGGGTGAGAGAGTGAGAGAGTGAGAGAGTGAGGGAGAGAGGGAGAGAGATATGATTAACGCTGAACAGAAGAAGGAAGCCCCCTATTTTTATTTTTATTTTTTTTTTGCCCGCAAAGAAATGGATCAACTAGCGTGATTATTGGCGGGAACGCGGGTTTGGACGGCAAAGCCAGGCAGATGTCGCGGCATGAGAAAAAAGGTTACTAGCGAGGATGACGCCTGGAGTAGTAGGATGATGTATATTTGCGATGGGGCGGAGAGCAGGTGGAGTGGAAGGGGGATCCGAAAGGACGAGGAGAAGAATGCTGGGAGAAGAGAAGAGGAGAGGAGGAGAAGTCGAAGATAAGAATGGGGTTAATTGATGCTGTCTGGGTAGAAGGTCAGGGTGAGAGGTGTCGTTGGCGCAGTTGAGTGAAGTTGTTGGAAGTTGACGTTGAAGCCCAAAATAGAGCGAAAGTTCTCTCTTGTCTTGTCAGGCCACGCCAGGAACAACCAACATACGCGTATTGACGACAGTACACATACTACCCTAACTAGTAAGGCCTAAGGAACGGCGTATCGTATGGTAAGGGGCTAGCGCAAGCCTGGCTGGGTTAACTGCCATAACTTACCGCTACTTAACTGCCCTACTTACCGCTAACTTTACCGCTAACTCGGACGGGACTAGAGCCCTCCCGGTCCCGTACTTTATGTGTCACTGGCCCACTCCATCCACCGCCAAAAGTAACCTCAGTGGTACTTCCCATCAATGCTGTCAACGCTGCCAACGCGACCAAACCACTGTCAATTCTGACAACTCTGACAACTCACTCTGACCACTCTGACCAGGGGCAAGCTCTTGATTGGAAAAAGACCAGGCACAAAAGTTAATCAGAGGTTTCCTTGGCATCGTAAAGCATTGCGTATGAAGTAGTTGTCGAGAATAATGCAACTGCGCTGGTGCTCATTCTTGAGTCTTTCTCTCCCCCACCATACGGTGTCTACGGAATACTGCATACTAGACAGACAGCATACTCACTGATGTACAGCATATCACATATCCAACCCTGGAACTGTTCTCAACACCTGCATAACTACTACTTACGTTATTAGACAGTCGACGTGTGCATTTAAGGTTGAAACACCAAACACCGCCTCGGCTTATGGATCAAGCATCGGGAGGATCGTGCCCTCATGCAAAATATTTAATTTTCCATCACCATTCCGTCACCTCATCATCCTGTGGCCCCCCGTCCAAGAGTAGCAGAAATAACAATGTGAAGAGTTATTATTAGATAGTAAATTGATCTGGCATTCAGGTGTATCAAAGAATCCTGCTCAGCCACAGATTCAGAGATTCTTATTCCCCTCCCCACAACCTCTCCACCTCCGAGAATATCGACATATCGAGATTGAGACCCTGGCTCGAGATACTAGTTAAACTCTATGGAACGAAATATAAATATTCGTCTTCATAGAAATGTTCACACTCCTGGCCTGTGTCTGTAAGGTTTATTTATTATCAGAACCTCGGGGGTCATTCAGAAACACACGCTTGGAAGGACACCAACAGTGTGTACTCCGCCAAATTGAGGTCCAAATAGCATTGTTTGTGCCACCCCAAAACAACCTGCCAATGTGTGTCAATATCATGGCAATATGTCACGAAAGACAACGTACTCGGTCCCGCTCTCTGTGCAAGTGTCTTGTCTTACATTTTCTAGTTGGGTTGGACAGAATGGCATCTCAAGCTTTTGGATTGGATATCATCTATGTCAATCCAGACTTCGCTGGCAAAATGGAATGATGGCCCACTAACGCTCTATCATGTCCATAAAAATTTCATACATCTGCCTTGAAATATAGATGGTTCATTTCCATACATTATTAATTACATTTTTAATTATTTTTTGAATAAACCCATCGTCACTCCTCGTATTCATTACTATCTATTAATATACCAATATACCAACCAAGAAACAAACTCCCAGGTCCCCGGCCGCCATTCACGGCAGTTCCAGCTCCGTACAAGTTCCTATTATGGCCCCTTGCCTATCGCTGACCCTCAAACCCGAGGTGCAGATCACCTTAACGCCGTCTGAGAGGAGCCGGACAAGGTTCCTAGATAAAAATACTAACGACTCACTCCTCCCTGCTGCTGCGAACATAAAGGAGGCTGCGGAAAGCAAAAGGCTCCATTTAGTGTGCCTTCCTTTCACACCACGGCTGATTCAATTGGCCGCTCTCTCGAGGTCAAGGTCAAGGGTTGGATGCAAGGAACTAAGAAAAGTAACTTTGTCTATACGAAATATGGAATTGTTTAGTGGGTAATCTAGAATTACTGATCGATGAGGTTGAGGCTTTTTGGACGCCTGTCATCCTTGCAAGAAGACGCCCGCAGAACGGGGGCGGTCAAAGACACAGGTTTTCCCAAAGGATAGCAGCTACATCCCTGCCTTCACCGTGGTTTTCTTTCGGAGATACATACAACAGGATTCTTCTTGTTGGTTCAGTTTGATTAATTAAATTAATCAGCTCAATCCACAGCTCATGCTCATGCTCATGCTCATGCTCATGCTCATGCTCATGCTCATGTGATGCGATGTATGGATTTGATATTTACATGGAATGCACAAAGTATGTAAATGCTCCTTTCCACACATCGTTTTTCCCTACCTAGAAGTAAATCTAATGAACCTGCCAATGGCATAGTTATCCCAAGAATGTCGACGACTTTTTCTCTTTCTCTTTTTCTTTTTTTCTTTTTCTTTTTTCTTTTCTTTTTTTTCGTTTTTTGCTTGCTTGCTTGCTTGGTTGCTTACATGCAGCATTATCAATAGCACTTAAATATGCATGAAAGGTTAAACAGTGTCCTCATCACTTGCTCCAAGATAAACAGCTAGACACTCTCCATCTTGTCCTGAGGCCCTCTACTGCCTCCGGATAGGATGTGGAGGACAGACCCTTCTCCATTTCCTCCCGCTGTAAATCAAACTCACAAACCAGTCTAGGAGCCGTTGCAGAATTGCCGAGAAGAGGATAATCCGCCTCCGCCAATCCGCCACGACTGCATCCCTGGAAGCATAAGAGAAGGTGAAGAGGAAAATTGCAGCTGGCGGGCACTCTCACTGACAGGTTGACTCTGCCAGAAAGTTTTAGAACCATGTGCAATCCGTTTATGAGTCTTGGTCTCGTTTCTGTAGGTGGTGAGTTACGTGTGGACTCTCGTGAAAGCAAATCTTTCGACAAAAGCGTTCGTCGAACAAAGAAAGGGCCTGGATGAACGACGGCACGCACTGCCACGGCAGCATCCTGCGGGGAAGACGGAGCCTTGTGTCGCGTCCATATGCTTTAATAACTAATGACTCGGCGTCGAAGTGTCTGCAGTCATAGAGGAGTGTCTGCTGCCTCTTCTCTTCTCTGCAATCTTTATACCGTCCATGTAGCTCACAGGCAGCGAAGTGATGTCTGAAGCAGTGAGAGCAGTCCGTTTGACGTTAGCATTTCCCTGCATGGGATTCAGGGGCGATGCGTAACAACGACTACCGACGTTACGTATGTAGGGACATGCGACTCGAGTCAAGTTGCATATGAAGACAGAACCGGCTCAACCACAACTGCATAGTTTAGCAACCCCGAAACAATCATATTGTGATTAAACTATTATCCTTCATTGATTTATCACCTGCCATTTCAATAATTGCCAAATTGAAGAGTGCATTTGGGCTATTGTAAATTTGCACTTCCCATCAACTTTTGGGCATTGAACAAACAAACGGAAAACCTCCAAAAGACTCATCATCTTATTCATTCGAAAGGGATGGAAACTCAAAAAGAACCAAAAGATGCTTAAGCTAAATTGAAACGCAAATGCTAGGTGACGCTACGGAATGCTAAGCCTGGTCTAATTTTCAACTTTCTCCACCATTTTTACCCCCCCGTTTCCACCGCGAAAAGCAACATTAGGCCCAACGATCGCCGATCAGGAATTCGTATTCAAAATCTTGCGATTTGATTCGATTTTGCTCTAAACTTTCACTTGTGGTTTCAGCGTTTTAACGACAAACCTTGGAACCTGTGTGAACAGAGCCGTTTTTGTCTTTAAGAATATTTTTTTTTCTTTTTTTCTTTCTGCTTTGTTTATTTTTATTCCCATCAATTTTTTTTATTATTTTTATTTTTATTATTTACTTTGTGGCGTTTTGAAAAGTCGAAACGGGTCTCTTGGGATTGATCTCTGACAATTCCTTCGAATCTGTCTCCAGCCACACAAGCCGTGGACTCAAAACTCCCTCCAATCATGTTGCAATGCCGTACCGAGGGTGGTTACAGAATGTGGCGTCCTGAAGTTTTGGCTATTTTAACTGTTGTTCACGCATTCTTGATTCCTCAAGGCCGCGAGGACTTTCTCAACTGTGTGGCATCTAACAAAAGTCTTATAACCGTCAGCTGTGGTAACTATGGCTTCTCGGGTGGTATTCTTACGAATCCATGGATCTGTCGTTTGCCACGACATGCATGATTTTGATGGTTATTGCACAGCTCCAGTGTGGGTACAGTTAACTAGTTAGTTTCCCGTCCTGAGACTTTCTACTGCCCGAGTCTGCCGGGTGATCTTTTTTCCGGCCTGGGGCGGCAGTTGGCAGTTGGCAGTTTCTGCGCTTGGGGAAAGGTGAACTTCAACCTCAGTTGAGCTGGGGCTTGGAATTCAGTCCACAGCAAAGAAGATGAGAAAGAGAGAAGGCTGTAATTACAGCTGCTAATGGGCATGAGGTGCATGTAACATGCAGGCCATGCCCCCGGGTTTCTAGGTAACTAACTGTGCCACGCGCACTCACTACCTCCCAGTAGTAAGTGCACCCAACCATAAAGAAAATATCACTGTAATTGAAATATTCTAGGATCACCAATCTTCAAAAATAAATTAATGGTCAACATCATGCCTATCTATAATATAAAGATTATATATATACTAATTAGAGCATATAAAATCTCCAGTAAATTGAGATTTATTAATAATATTATATTGTGATTAATTAATATTAGATTTGAAGACTTTGATTTCAATTGATTGTAAAGCTCTATTTCTCTCTTTTATCAATTCCTTCTTTTTACAATGCTTGATCATGTGATTGACATTCTTGATAGTGAGGACACTCTCTACTTACATTTATCTGTGATAGTTTTTGACAATTTAATATCTATTTATTATATAATTAGCAGATAATTCATTCTCTCAGTATATATTCAATTTTATCTATGTTGAACTCTTCTTGAAAATCTTATTCAATCACTAAATTAGATCAAATATTAAAGTGTTTTTTATCTTATATATAATCTTATCTGTTGCTTTAATTTAATAATATAATTTTACAACTATATTTGAAAATATCAACTGAAAAAATATAATAAAAAATTAAATCTCAGAGAGTGAGATAAAACTGAAGTATTCTTCACTACCATCATTATAGATAAATAGCTTCAAATCATTACTTATATTATATTATCTCAAGTATTAAAAAATTATTTTTAATTTAAATAAATAGATTTTACAGTTGATAAATTTAACTTTAATATTAATAAATTTGAAGATTTAATAATAAACACTCTTTAAATTAGCAAGAAACTATCTTCTATTATATTGTTCATATTCATATCAAGTAGTTTTATTAATTACTTTTATATAATAATGTTAATATTACTGAAAAGATATATTATCAAAAAAATTATAGTAGATAATTTATATAAAATAAAAATTTAAATAAAATAATATTATGAAAGTTATAATATTAAAAAAACTTTTCAATAAAATAAAATTTATAATTATTAAATATCACAGCTTTAATCTAGGTATAAGTAAACAGGTATTTGATTGTCAACTAGGTAAGCTATATTAATAAAATATTAAAATAATTTCTAAAAGACAGGTTCAAACAAGATCTATTTTATATAGCTTTTAATATCTTATTTGTGGCGTTCTGCCTCTATTCTTCCGCCTCTTTCTATATTAGTATCCGCTCTCTATTCGCTCCTCCCCTCTCTAATCCACTCAGAGGCACTAATCTTTTCTATATTTCCTATTCTATGCAATCGCTCCTACCATATAGAGTGATTATAGTGTGTATATATAGCAGGGCATTCGCCTATCTTATTAGAAAAGAATCAGATATGATTTATCCTACCTATTCAATTGCTTATATATATCATTATCCTTATTTTCTTACCTTTATTATTTTTATTTTCTTACCTTTATTTTTAGTGTTTTACCTTTGTCTTTAGTGCTATTACTATGTTAATATTTAGACAGAGTCTGTTTTAGTATACTTTATCAAATGAACTTTATAAGATTAATTAGTTTCTGAATGAATTTTATTCTATATTATTGTATTATTTTTTTTGAAGCTCAAGTATGCTCTCATACTGATAAGTTATTATCTGCTTTATCTACTAAATAGTTATCCATTCTTCAAGCTTCTATTTATTTATTTAGTAATTTTAAAAGTTTTATCTTTATTGAATTTGTTGTATAAAACTTTTAAACTAAATATAGTACTCTCTTTAGATTTTTTACTGAATATCATATTAAATTATTATCAAATTTAAATCACTTTATTTGATATTGAAGTTTTTTATAATAAATATAACTTGCTAGAATATCTTTAATCTTCTATTTATTTTTACTTTGAATTTTAACTAGTTCTAAAGTCTTATTTAATTGTTCTAGTAGAAAGTCATTTGCAGATTTTTATATCCTATCTGAAGAGAATATCGAGTGATTTCTCATGTTGTTTGATAGACTTAGTCTGTAACTGTTGTCTACTTTCTCAGCAATTTTAAAAAAATCTTCTTTTTATTCTAATAACTTTTTGCTTAAATGTTAAATTCTATAGTTTTTGAGTGACAGAAAGATCTTATTCTCTATCTTAAAATCTGACTTCTAATAGTGTTTATTAATATTTGACTTTATAACTTCTTGTATTTTTTTATATTATTAGCTGTTAGCTTTTAAATTTCTTTTATTTGAATAATATATTATTTAATATCTTCTTATTTAAGCTTTTTCTTTTTAAATAATGTTTTTAATAATAACTTTTAATTAAAAAACATTCTAGATTTATATTTATAGATAGTTTAAAAAATTATCATTTTAATAAATTTATTTTTCAGAGCTATAACTATATAATTCATTATTAACAATTACTTATCCCAGTTATTCTGATAGTAATTTATATATAAATAAAGTTTGATTACTAGATATTAATTTACAATCTCAGTCTGATCATCTGTTTATATATGATAAGCTGAGAAGAGCTTTAGTTTAACTTTCATCTATCTGATAAACTCACTTCAGAAGTTTGAAATAAACTATAATCGTGCCTCGCGCACTCACACCTGATATGGATGCGCTACAGCGTAATAATAAAAACAGCATAACAATAAAAATATCAACTTTTTCATTAATCAATCTTCAAATATTAATATATCACCACTATCATAATCAATAAGATAGATGATCTTGAAAAATATATTCAAAGTGCCATTGAAGTCTATACTGATAATCAATAACAGAAAATCCTACCTCTGATGTGCAAATTTAACATTTCTTATCAACATCTTCAAGCAAGAATCAATGGAAGAAAAACACACAATGCAAAAACTGCACTGAACAAAAAGCTTAGCAAGAGCTAAGAGGACATATTAAAAAAGTAGATAGCTTATATGAATAGAAATAATTGTCTGCTGACTGCAGAGCAGATTCAAGATAACATGAATCTCATTCTCAAACATCATCATACTGATCCTTCAACCTCCCCACCTGTGGTCAACAAGATGTGGACCTATTGATATATATAAAGCTTGATATAAGGGGTTGAACCCCTAGATTCGCTCTGGCTGGCTGACTCAGCCTAGCCATCGTTTGCACGTGCGCACGTGATCATGCTACGCGAGCTTGCTTAAGCTCGAGTTCTCGTCTCATTCTTTTCTTCCCTTCTCAAGCAATTCGTCTTTGTTATATAGGAGGACTAGCCTCTAGTTCTTAGAGCTTAACCCTTTATACTTGAATGAGTATATAAGGGTTAAGCAGAAGACAATAGATCTGAAAAGAATTGCTGTTAAGAATATTAGCTACATCAAGATGTGGTTTGACTGTTTGAAAATCTTACTTCAAAAGTACACATTTCAAATCTGCAATATCTACAACTTTGATGAGATTGGCTTTCAAGAGGGTCAAGGACATGAAGAATGAGTTATTACTGCTTTTAAAGACTTTAATTCAGTTATAACTTCATCATATTTTCAAGAATTGATCACTGTGATTGAGTGTGTTTCAGCAAATAGTGAGGTATTAGATCTCTTCATCATCATGAAATTCAAAACTCAACTTGAAGGTTGATATACACAAAGCAACCTACCAGGCAGATATACAATTGCAACATCAGATACTGGCTATATCAATGATAAGATTGACTTTGCATGAATTCAGTACTTTAATGAAATCTTTAAAAAATATTA